TGACATTTTGAAGGCATTGAAGAAGTCAAGCCCCGTCCACCCAGCTACCACAGAACTTAGCATCCTCTGGAGATCACTGGGCTCATCAGCAGCGAGGACTAGGTTGTTTGCATAGGCCAGAATTATCAAATTATGTCCATCCCGTCTTTTGCACCTAATGCTTCTATTGATACATCCCAAAACAGCATTCACCTTTTGTGCCACTGCATCACACTGCAGACTCGTATTGAATCTGATCTACTAAGACTCCCAGATCCTTCTCTGCAGGGCTGCCATCCAGTCAAGCGTCACCCATTTTGCATTTACGATTATTCTTCCTGAAATGTAGCACCTTGCATTTGATAGCATTGAAATTCATGCTGCTAGCTCCAGTCCAGATTTCCAATCTGTCAAGATCCTTCCAAATTACACATCTGTCCTCCAATCTGATCACAATCTTTCCCAGTTTCATGTCATCTGCAAACACAATCCTTTCCAGTTTCACATCATCTGTAAACATGCTCAATAAACTTTCTACGCATCCAAATTATTAGTAAATGTGTCTATTAATAAACAACATACATTTAATTATTTGCATTTAATTATGTATTGATCAATAAAGAACACAGTACAGACCCCTTTGGAACTCCACTCAAAACCTCCTGCTATTCTGATATGTATCCATTTATAATTACCCTTAGCTTGCAGCTACTGAGCCAGTTGTCTATTCACCTTATAATAGTTCTGTCCAGCCCACATTTCTCCAGTCTGTTTATGAGAAAGTCATGCAGGACCTTGTGAAAAGCTTTGCTAAATTCCAGCGACATTATATCCACAGCATTTCCTTCATCCATCCAAGTAGTTACTTTGTCAAAGAAGATCAAGTTTGTTTGACACAATTTGGTTTTAGTAAATCCATGCTGGCTGCTTGTGATCAGCCTTTCATAGAATCACAGAGAAATAAAGCTAGAAGGGAACTCCATACATCATCTACTCCAATCTCCTGCCTTGGGCACGATCACCCCTATATCCAAACCATCCTATGCAAATCCATGGTCTAACCTCTTAGCAAAAACTGTTAACCGTGATACAACCCAAGACATAATATACTCAAAATATCCCAGGAAGTGGGCCATGCCCCCTCCACCAGATGCTTGCAAATTAACTTCCTTATGATATGTTCCAGTACTTTCCCAGATACTAAGGTGAGGTTAAACAGTCTGTAGTTCCTTGTGTTCTCCTTTTTGCCTCTTTTAAAGAAGGGCACGGCCATGGCCCTTTTCCAGTCCTCTGGTACCATGTCCATCTCTCACAATTTGATGAATATCATTGCCAAAGGCTTCAACATCTCTTTTTCCTGTCCCTTCCGTAGCCGTGGATGAAGTTCACAGGCCCTGCTGACTTGAATATATTCAACAACTCTCCAACTGTCTGTCCTGTTATTTCACCCTTCAGCTTGCTGCCTTCTTTATCCAAGTAACCATTATTAAACATCTGGATGGAGCTTAATTCTGCGGCAAAGAATGAGGCAAACTAGCTGTTAGTAACTCTGCCTTTCTTGTATTTTCTGTTTAGATATACCCCTAGTTGTTTAACAGTAGATCTGCAGCTTCCTTTGTCTTTTTTTCTGACTAATGTATTTGGAGACATTCTTCTTGTTGTCTTTAACCTCCATTGCCAGGTGCAACTCCTACTTTCATCTTTATCCATTTCATCATTATCCATCCAACTCATTCTTTCATCCATTATATTGGTGCTGCATGCTTCACCTTTTATCTTCACCCAAATGCATTATGATCTGCTATCTTCTTCCTCCTGAACCAGGGAACAAGTGCATGAGTTCAACATACAAAGCGACCATAGGTGTTCCTCAGACTCTAAATAGCAAGTTATTAGCATAACCATGCTTGCACTGTTGCCTTCCCTATCTTTCAACACTATACAATCAAGTAAGTCAGGTAACTATGCATTTCCTCTAACATCCAGGAGGGAGGAAACTATTATTATGCCTATTCTGTCATATGGGGGACTGAGATAGAGGGACTGATTCACCCAAAATGACACAAGTCTAAAGCAGAGCCCAGAATTCATCTCCAAGCCCAGTTCTAGTACTGTCAACAAAAAAGGCCAGTGTTTATCCAAGTCCTTTACAAATCTGTTGGGAAAGGATGAGTTAACTATCAGCACTAAATATCAAATCCAGAATGGCAGGTAATTAACACCTGTGAAAAATCACACTTGTGGCTAGACCTACTACACTACTCATTTTACTGGCAAAACAGAGCTGGGAAGGGTGAGATGAGGTATAATTTGTAACTAATCATGATAAACCTCCAAAACTGGGGTAACTCATGTCATATTGGGATGGGATGGGAGAGGGAAGGGGAGAGGTGTTAGAACAGGGGTGTCAAAATCATCCCATTCCAGAAGCCAGATGAGGGGCACAGAGCTACTCTATTGGCTCGATTAGGCCCACAGATTGGCCCCATATGCCAGATCCATGTAGCGAACTCTCTGGACTAGCTGTGTGTGCTGCTTGCAATGCATACACCAGCTCTACATAACATATTCAGACCACAGTGGTCCCATGCGTGGCACGCCGTGGGTGGGGCCGGTCTCAGGTGCAGCCTGCATGTGGAACCTGCACTAGACCCAGCCCTGCATGCTAGATCTGGCATGGACTGTTGACCTGACCAGGACCAGCCCCATGATCCAGCATGCATGACCTAGTCAGCACAGCTGGCATATGTAGCACATGCCCCTGCCTGGCCCTGTACTGTGTGCAGCCTGCACCAGGTGGGCTCTGCACACTTACCCAGGCCAGTATGTGCTGGATGGATGTGGCAAGCAATGCTACAAGCCAGAGAGGATATGGTTCTGACAGCAAAATCCAGCCTATAGGTCATATCTTTGACACCACTGAGTTAGAATAAACTAAGGAGATAAATGGATATTTTTAGTATATGCAACACCAACACAAGATGTGTTTTCATAATTGATTACAAAACAGCTACACCAGCAAAACCTTTCAGCTACGAACAGACTGAGAGCAAACTCTAGATCTCCTGACTTCATCCAGTAACATGAAAGCATAATGCCCCAGAAAAATATTCCCTTACACCTGAGCTCAAAATGTTTAACTTGGTGCCTATGAAATGTTAACAATTTGATATTAGATACATACTGTGAAACTGAACTGAAACAGAAATACCATGGTAATGACTAGAAGTATATTTTTCTAATTTTACCTTTTGGTTTCGAGGCAAATCTTGAGCATTTGCAGGAGGACTGTAATTCAAAACTAGCCTTCGAAACTCCAGGAGGTTAAATAATGACTGGAAAAAAGAAAGAAATATGTAAATGCTTCTGCAGAAAATCACTTGCCATGTGCCTTAGCAAAGTATCTTTGTTGACATGTTTGCTTTTGATGACAACATTTACTGACAAAATGAAGTCATTCCTCAGACCTGAGAAAAGGTACCCTTGTACCTAACACCTTGTGTAAATCTTTCTCTATCCTGCAGTTTGTTCAATAAAATGTATCACCTACAAAAATCCTTGCTTTTGCATCACACACAGACACCCACAAATGTGCGCATGCACAACATGTAAAGATAAATAAATATTAGGAACTTAGTATGACATGTACGATATAACTTGCTTTCCGTATCTGAAATTTCAATTGAAGTTAATTTTAAAAAGAGCCAGTTGTCCAAGAAAGAAAACAGAAGTTGTTTAGTTGTAAATAGTTAAAGCTCCTGGTTGCTTTACCACATATGCTTTTAAGTATTTACAGAAATTTGAGAGAGTAACATAATTCCGTGAAGAATGCAGATCCTATTTTACACCGTTTTTGAGTCCCTGTTACTAAATCATATCTAATACTAGAAAAGAAGAGCTGTTTCTTGCTGCTTTGTCAAGTAGCAGGAAAGAGAGATGAGAAACGTAATCAGTGTAACAGGCTAGTATAAATCAAACATGAATGATTTAACCTATATTTTGAGATGTCAACTAAAAAATCCATTAAGAATATGGCTTGAAGAAAGGAAGACATACATCTTTCAGATTTCGATGTGGATTTACTCTCTGCTCTATTTTATGAAAGATCAGTTGTCCAACTTGAGCCTGTGTTAATTCTTTTAGATACCATGTTTATTATAGATTATAATATATGGTTCACCAGAACATATAAATTGTCCTGGCCTGATTACATGATCTCATTTTGCATGGATATTTATTGCTCAAGCCAAATAGGTAAATATTGACAGTGGATACTACTGATGGTTTTGGAAATAACCAAGATTGAATGCTGTATGTTCCATTACCAGATTTCGATAGCTTGCTCTTTAAAGGTATAAGCAAAATATGGGGAAAATGTTTCTTAGTCTTTTGGAATACATGGGGTCTTAAATGCCCTGCCCTGCCCTGGGGACAAACTAACCCAGATTGCCTGTTTATATAAACTGGGACAGATTCTACCTTGCTTGTCCTCCTCCCTACCTCAGTAGAAAACTTAACTCAACAATATCAACTCAGTTATTGCAGTAAAGTTGGTACCTTGCTAGTGTGACCACATATGCGGCAATAAGTACCTTACTGAATGAACAGCTTCACTTACAGTATTTTAATAGACCTACACAAATAGCAAAGTACAGTACTTACTACTTCACAAAAAGGCCACATTTAGTCATGTAAGTATGAACCATAATTGAAACTACACATCTAGAAATCACCAAATTAAATATTTCTTAATAACTTGCATGAAGAACTTTGAGAAAAATCTGTTCTAAAAAAAACACAAGGCAAAGTGTATAAAACCAGCTTTTAAACATAATTTTCTCCTTTAGGCCTGAAGTAAAAGAAAAGGCTCAGCTTAGTAGTGTGTGTGTTCCTAATTCAGAACCAGACACCTGATTATACTGACAAAGCTGTGAATTTAATTTAAATGAATTTGCTTGTGTACAGTTTTCTGTAATGTGTGTGTGTGTGTGTGTGTGTGTGTGTGTACATCTATTTGGCTAGCTCAGTTGCTGGACAGTATGACAGTAGATGCATTAGTCATGGAGCTTTGCACCTTAAATATCCTCTTTGCACCTTAAATATCATCAGCTTTTTTTGTATGCATGACATTGCTATAATTTACTTGATGAAAAGTCCATCAACTGCATGCCATTACATCTTCTCTCACAGAGCTGTGCATCATTCAGCTTGAACTTACTTCTAGAATGGCACCCAAGTTAAAAATGTTAATACTTAATTTGTAAATGTGTAGAAAGCATACCTGGTAGATGTAATCATCCTTGTTAGAAAGAGAAAAGACGGGTGACCTGCAAAGCTTTTGGGGTTTTGGGGGGTTTTTTGTTTTTAAACTTACGAAGGGGGTCTGAAAGGCTTTTTATTGCTTATGTTTACTTAACCTTAGAACAGGGGCGGACAATTATTTTGGGCAGAGGGCCGCTTACTGAGTTTTGGCAAGCCATCAAGGGCCGCATGACCGGCAGCCCAAGGCAGATAAATAATTTTCTAAATTTTTTAGGGGCCCTGCAGGCCAGATAGAATGGCCTGGCGGGCCACATCCGGCCCCCGGGCTGCATTTTGCCCACCCCTGCCTTAGAAATACTAGGAAAAACAATTGTGGTACCCCAGGATTTGTTAGATATCTTCTTCTTTGGGTAAACACATATCAAAACCTGTTTTAACCTTAGTTGTAAAGCAGAGATGTTCTGATCTTTAGGTGAGCTATTTTTCCCCCTCCAAAGTATTTGTAAGAGGTGCGGGGAGGGTGAGAGAACCAAAAAAGTTATCTCCTATGACTCACTTTCCCGCATCTAAAATGGGAACAACAACACTAACAGATACAAGGTATATTCATTACTGACCACTTAGTTCATTTAGTCAAAATGAATCAAGTGCTTAGAAATAAATACACCTTGTATCACCGATATCAAACATGGCCCAAGGGCCAGATCCAGCCTGTGATGCTCCACCATCCAGCCACTGGTGCTCCTCCTGGGTCTGATCAGACCCACAGGGAGCAGAGCACATGGCCATGGTGCAGGACTGGCCTATGGACTGGATCAGGGCCCTGGATCCCCTCCCTCTCTCTCCCAGCATAAGCAGCACGAGTCCCAGACTGGCTGAGGTGGCCACCAGAGCAGATATGCTGGGGGAGAGAAAGGCGGGTGAGGATCTGTGGGCTTGATCCAGCCTGTGGGCCAGCCTCATGCCATCCTGCTAACAAGAATGATTAAGGCCAGATAAGCTTGATATCCTTGCCCTGTATGAATATTCCTGGTCTCCAGATAACATGAGACTGAGCGCTGAAATCTGAAATTACTAAATCCCCCCTAGTCCTAACTTTCTGGTGAATTCCTTACCAAGATACATGTGGCTATCAGTAGGAAAGGAAGATGAATAAATACAAAACTATTTCTTAGGCAATGTGAAAATGTACATCAGCAATGGGTAAGCACAGAGCAAAAATGAATTTGAAGACGCATGTCTCAGTACAGTAGATCAGTAAGACATTAGAAAAAAAGCACTATAAAAGACCCACTTCTTCCTAGAAGGTAAGCGATTCACACCTGCACTGCCAGAGATAAGTTCAAGTTCTCGTCTCTCTCTCTTTCCTATTTTATATAACATGACTACCTGAAAATTACCAAAAATGGAACCAGAAGTTATCAAGCACAAAAAGCAATTCAGTTTAAAGATATACTTGAGCATCACTGTTAAGCTCAGATATCACAAAATAATGAATATCAAGATGATTCTGAAAAATCTAATACCATCATTAATTTTCTTTGTCTGTATTAAGTAGGGATTCCTACACTAAACCTAGGAATTCTGCAAATTTACATATTATGTGAAACTTTTACCCTCTGAATCTCTTGCATACCTTTATCTCTAATAAAACAAAATAGACATGAGTCATCTTTATCACCATAGGTTTTGCACTGAAGTTTCCATCATGAAAGAAACCTGGAAAGGAGAGTTAAGCCCCAAAACTGTACTGAAGGAGAATAAATAAAATTCCACCCAAAAAAGATATGACAGACACCCCTACAAACCAAAATATTTAAAATAAACTGACTTATGGTGCCACAAATAAGAAAGTATATGGATCCATTGTTATACACAGACTTAGTCATAAGAATGAAGTATTTACTATTAAAAATCTGCATGTTTGATGTGGAGGCCAATATTCCACATAAAATTAACTGAATTCTCAGTGCGGTGACAATCATGTAAAAGCATCCATCCCTTTTTTGGGAATTTAAAGATGAGTAAGAGTTGTTGGTTGTAGCCTTGGATGTAGGCAGACAAGGTTCCTTGGGTAAATGTGATATCTTATTAAACCAACTAAACAGTTGGAAACATTGTTCTTTGCACGCTTTCGGGTGCAAACACCCTTCTTCAGCCACAGGGAGAGTTTGTTGTTGCTTTGTGTTCTCTCCTGGGTGGAATGAAAGCCTGAAGAAGGGTGTTTGTACCCGAAAGCTTGCAAAGAACAATTTTTCCAACTATTTAGCTGGTATAATAAAAGATATCACATTTACCCAAAGAACCTTGTCTGCTTATAAAGCTGAATAAGAAACATTCTTGTTACTCAAATGTCTCTGAACCATGACCAAAAATAATGAAAATCCCTTTCATTACAAAAACCTTATCCATCTATTATTCTATTTTCTTTATGTGTGTGTGTGTGTACATAGGAAGAGTCAAAGAGCAACAATCAAATTTGTAAGCCAACAGCTAAGTTTCAATCACCTGAGAAGACATAGAAAGGGCAATAGGTAGCAATAATTCAGTAAAAGAGGGTTTCTAGCTCTGGGCACAGGGAAGAATATGAATGGACCAAAGACCAGACCTCTATCTCTGTGCCTTTCAAAATACAGAAAGTAGCAAGAGGTTGATAGGAACGTTGAAGGGGGTGCAGAAAACATCCAACAGCAAAACTAAGTAATATGAAACAATTAGTACTGAAAGAAATTCTGGGATCATCTGGCTCAGCTCAGGGATGGCAGGGAAAAATAGGGTACAAACAGATGCAACAATCACAGTGATACCAACCGATACAGAAAACAAGCTGTTAAGATGCATGATTCTGTAGTGATACAAATTTAGTAAAACTGCTTTTGCTTTAACTCAGTTTCATTCAGGGTCAAAGCTGGGGAAAAGTGGTAACTTGCATTGCTACAGGATATCATAGATATGTAACAGATTGTAACAGCTGCTGCATGCCTCTGAACAGCAGCTCCCTCTTCCCTTCTAAAACAATGGAAATGGTTGCTCATACCCACAGGGGCAACTTCCAGCATACCACAAGGAAGTA